CTTAATTCGTAATCACTTATACGTACGTTTATGCGCACGTTTCACCTAGAGCTCCCATATGAAGAATCAAAAACAGTCTATGAATATTTACATTTTTATTAAAAATTACCAAAAATTGAAATTTACCACAGGAGTTCATCGATGACTCTGGGTGAATCTCTTAAATATGCCAATGTCATTCTCTTCATTTTTATGTGTAGAAGCCAGAGGAGCCGCGTCCCGCATGAGTCTCTTCACCGCCAATACCAATAGCAACCCGCTCAACTGTCTACAAGTTGCCACCGTCTCACCAAGTGCTCGTCGAGAGGTTGTTTGAATTGTACCTCGTTCTACTCCTCCACCACCTTCGACGGAAGTGAATTCCAGAGAGTAGTCGCCCTCCTGGAAGATGATAAACCAACGGAAGCCCCGTCAACTCCAGCTTCCGGTTAGTAAGCCTGTGGTTGCGCTTCCAGTTGCAGTCTCGTAGTGGAAACACAGTACACAGTTCCGGTCCCAGATCGCTACGAAGAATCTTCCATCATTAGGTCAAATCCCCACGAGTTTCCGGTAGCTAACCGGGTGGATTTCAAGCGCCTGGATCCGACCTTTATAGCTGGCCCCACGACTAGCCGAGTAGCTTAGCGCTATACCCGTTCCAAGTTGACCATTCTGGAAAGCGTTCAGGGGTATACAACGGGTTTGCCATATTCAAGCCGGGGGCGAACATGAAAAGCGACGCATATCATCTGGGATGGCCACCGGGGCTGTTACTGGTGGTCTGTAGCAGACTCCAGTGGTCATGTAGCCGTTGCGGTACAGTTTAGGTTTGCACCACAATGCTTCTCCCTGACGGTCAGGATCCGCGTAACTGTAGAGGAGGGTAACCGGCACATGGATGAAAAGCAGGACACCCCCACCAACTAATGGTTGTACTCTATTCGAGCGGAATGATGCATACCCTGAGAGAGATTTCAGAATCGAGGACATCTGGGGTAAGCCAGATTTCGGTGAGGGCAATTAAAACCGGGGAATGTTCCATGAAAAACGCCTCCAACTCGTCTTGTTTGTTCAGGACAATGCGTAAATTGGCGCAAACAATGCACGCACGGCTGCTCCTGTCGGTGGCAGCCGTTGGTGTCTCCCTTCGGTTTATACCGGGGGAGATTATCTTCCATCTGTTGCTAGAAGGCTCCATCAAAAATGTGGTCGCCTTCTCTGGACCCGAAAATCCCGGACGAAAAGATAGTCTTCACCATTGACTAGACGCTCGTGGAGCTCGGCTAAAGCTTGCTTGTCCACATCAAGGTCGCGTAATATCTTGATATGTTCCCGTTCTAGGCGAAAGATGCGTTGAAACGCTGACCATATTTCCTCCACAGACCAAAGGACAACCCTCAGGGGACGGGTCCGCTGCCTTCCCGTTTGGCTCCCAGTCTCAGCGTGGCTTTCACCCTTATCTCTTGGGCTTGAGTTTCCTCGCCTGGGACGAAAAGCTTGGCCAGGACTCCTCTAAGCAAGGATATGTCTGCGTTGAGCTTGGCTCGCGCCGTAGGTTCTGCGGATTTAGGCATATTGACAGCTAATAAGTATTGCTGTCTTGAGGAGCGTTCTTGTCGTTGGTCTCTTGAGTGTATCCTTCATAGCTGTTTTTGTACACAACATCTAAAATGAAACATAGGTATTGGTCATTACGTCAGTTGAGTGCGTATTCATAATTTTAACTCAAGTGTACCAAACAGTAACTCACAAAAGATAGCGTGCGTCATTAAAGAGGAAGAAAGTGAGGCTCTTCCGTGTATTCCATTTCGGTTCAAATGTCGGAAAATCGGGGACTTAAAAACCCTTCTGATCATTGCCCAAATGCATTCAGCAACATCCTCACCACCACTGACGGATGTGTACGTGACCTGTTTAAGAGTAAATGGCTATGTTATGGCATGGCACTTTAAATACATCAGAGAGTGTCATGTCTATGTGAGAGACTTACGAAGTCGACGGTGGTTTCCGTTTTCTAAGGGTGTTCTTCCATTGGGTATAAATCATCCGAATTGTCTACAGCTAAACCAGTCTGGACTGGGTATACTCGCCGTTGCGACAAGGTGTTAATTTCTACACGCATTATATGTGTAACATGCGTAGAATTTTCGTAACGAATGCTGAAACTTTTCGGTTTGTGTCCATTGCAACACAAAAGCCACGTAGAAGCATGTAAGTTAGTCTTACAATTGGCATCATCTCTATTGGATTCTAGACTGAGAACTGATGGATTTGGTGGAATCGTCCTATGAGACACGCATTAACAATGTCGTTCATTTTACTTGCCGTCGTTGTTAGATGGATTAGGGCTTTAGCTTCAGTTCCACGTTTTCTTTGTTATCCAAGTCAATGTGTTCCACACGTGAACTAAAATGAAGTCTATCACACATTTCCAACTTATTTGGAGGCCAATGTCCAGCAATTTGGACTTACTATATTGCCGATTAACAACTTAAGTTTTTTTAATTACGCATTTTCGTGTGATGAACAGCAGACGGGGTAAACCCCATAGTCACGATGACCTGCTGACGATAACCGGTAACCCAGGCCCCGGGACTTGGAGTGGGGCAAACCACCTAAGGCCCCGATAGGTTAAACGTGGTATTGAACCGGACGACCGCAAAGCTGCCTACCATATAACGATAATCATATAACATAACATACTTACCCTGAATTATGTTCCGATGGGATGGTATCGAACGGAACAGTAGATGCTGAGATGCTATTTTGTGAAAAAGAATACTTTATTAAGTCAATTGCTAGACTCACATTCGCTTTGGCACGTACGGCTGAGGTATCATACCAAAGAAAGACCAAAAATGATTACAACGTTCCACTTACTAATATCTGGCGCTTGATTCTCTAGAACAAACGTGTTATATGAAGATCTAAATCACATTTCTCGTTTCTGCTTCTGACTCATGGGTGCCGTGACATCCGAAGAAGCAATTTTTTATTTCAAAAGGGACGTCCAACATGGGGAACCTCAGGATTATCCTTTTGATACGCTCAAGGGAATACTGGTGCTACTTGGGGAAACATGAAGATAAATATGCATATTTTTAAAATCATTTTAATCATTTTCATAAATGTAGCAATATTGCTCAAGTAATATAGATTAATATATACATGACTTTGAAACACACTATAGTGCCTCACGTGAGTAATGGAGAATCTGGTTAAATTTCACATGCGAACTTGTCGTCGTATATAGCAAATGAAGCGTGAACTAAAAAGTTAGGAAGCACTGAACAGCTGTTTCCACCTGGTTGGATCTCATCAGTGCAGTGCAAATCCATCGACCCAAATGGGGATCACGAACCCGCGACCTCAGGGGCAGAAAGCAAGCATGCTACCCCCTACGTCACCGGACAGCTGATCAGACCGTTTTTCATTTTCCGTCTACATTATATAGCACAACCCATCTTTGCGAGCTTGCTGCGGGCCACAGACCCTGCTATAGTGTGTTTAATTTTAGTGATAACCGCAATTGATTTTTTCTACCAGGCGACTACTCTCTGAAATTCACTGTCGTCGGAGGCAGGGGGAGCAGAATGTTCTGCGCTTCGTACGAGGAGCGATTCAAACAACGTCTCGACGAGCATTTGATGAGACGTTGGCAACCTGCGGACAAATGAGCGGGTAGCTATTGGTATCGATGAGGAAGAGGCTCAAACGGGAAGCTGCCCATCTAGAAGAAGGCAACTGCCTGGCCTGACCTTACCTGACTTCGACTTCTGTTGCACTGGATTTTTTAATTCTTCCGATTACAAGTATTCATTATGTTCGAAATGAACAAGACATCAGTTGAGGTAAGTCATACTAACAACTATGAAGGACGCTTGCGGACCACAAGACTATGTTCATGAGAATACAGGCAGACGAGAATATATATTTGGTCTAAACCAGACACCTTATTCGCGGAGACCTGGGCGATTTTCCCGCTTTGACAGCACAATTGCACGAGTGGACACGCACCAACTTTGTCAAAACAGCACTCTAATGGACATCCGTAGGTTTACCGCCTATCACGATGGTAGACCAACAAGTAGAATATGCTACCAGATGTGTGTGGATGGCGCAGGATAAAAACGACCAAATGTTCAAGTGTCAGCGAGTGGACTTCCTCGGGGGGAAGTGGTGAGACAAGACACACACATGTCTAAGTCACACCCACCCATCTACTCATTAATTTTGTAACTCCAGTCTATGAACGTGTGCTCTACCTTCCGTTTAAATCTGCTCCCAACATTCTAATGATCATTCCGCTATTTTATCCAAATGGGCAACCAAAACTGGCGCACGAAAGTGCATGGTTAATGGTTGTAAGAACTGAACCGAACTGAACTGAAGTCACGCCATCGAAGAAATGCATACCAAATTGTTCCCTTTGTCTATCTGTCTGTCTGTCTGTCTGCCTGTCTCTCGAAGAACGAGAGGAAGAAGAACTTGCATGAATTGGATCCTTCACAGTAACGGTCCTGTTGAAAACTAAAACTCGGAAAGAAATCAAATCACACCAACCGCACAATCACATACTCGGAAATTCGTAGTCTATGTACAATCATGAAAAAAGCTCACAATTTTGGTTAGTTGTTTTGTAGTTAGATTGGTGATCCATTGGCGTTTTACTAGTGAGACCTGGTAGTTCACGCTGTCTAAATGTGACGATAGTCAACGTCCAATTATACGAATGTTTGGGCACGCCCAATATCATGTGGTCCGGACTCGAAACCAGTTAGGGTAACGTGTTAAACTCTTAAGCTAGCACGTGGAAGTTTGAGGCTGGTGATTCCAAACAAGCATCAGTCAACTATCCACATTCCTTCCAACGATTTACAGTGGCATATACGGCATTTTATTATTGCACAATGAGTATCTTGATAACCAAACACTCATTCTGCTGTACTGAACAAAATTCTCCCTCTTCTTGTTCTGCTGCAATAGCTAATCGGATAGATATTCATTTCCACGTGTTCAAAATGCCAGTGGCTGGCACCCAACTTGAGCGCCTTCAGCTCCGCAAGTTGTTGCAGTCAGTTTGTCAATCGGAGGCAGAGCATGTGGCCAAACTGGTTCGTTATGGTGTTCCAAACATTATCAATTACAACGATGCGGAGAACGGAATCACACCGCTCATTATGACCGTGCAACAAAATAATATACACATGCTAAAAGTGAGCCACCTCATTTTTTTCAATTTGCCAAACGATCGATTAATCAGCTGTTAATTCAATTGGGAGCCAATACGGAAATTGTGGACTTTGACGGGCGAACAGCTCTGATGCGAGCTGCGATTGAGGGTAATGTGGAACTGTTTCACAGTCTACTCGAATCGAACGCAAATCGACATGCTATCGATCTTTCCGGGGAGAGTAGGTTCAATCAATTCGGTCGGTTTTTTACCAATTTATTTGGCCGCATTGTGCGCGTATTTCTTACTGTCCGGTACGGTTTCAATTTCATCGGTTCTTCCTTCTCTCTTGCCCACCTCCACACACACTTATGGTTTTTTTCGCAGACGTGTTGTTCCACTGTATATTCCCCACCGAAAGACATTTGCATTGTCTACGTTTGGTGTTGTTGGACAAAATCAATGTGAACGTGCAAAATAAGCTGGGTGAGACAGTGCTCTATCGGGCCTGCATCAAGGCGGACGAGAATGAGCAGTTTATATCGGAACTGTTGAAATCGGATGCCAATCCCAATTTGCAAACGGTCAGTATGAAATAACTGGATTTGTATTACTCTGAGGGGATGATACTTTGATGAACATTTCATGAACAGTTAAGCCTGAACAGTTGACAATTGCTCCTGTAGAGTAATTTGCATAATTTGAATTTAACTCACAAATGATTGTGAGTATTAATATAATTTGTCTTAGTTGAACCATGAGGTACACTGTAATTCCGTTGTATTCAATAGTTCCACCTCGTGGAGCTGATTCAAATATTCACGAGAGCTGTCTTCTTATACTCGATTATGAAAAACGTGAGCAGAGAAGTTCCTAACGCGGGAATAGCTCAGCTGTGGCAGTCACTCAAATAGACTTTCATAGGGCCGCTTAGAAATCCGCNAATCCGCGATCCAGTGACCCAGCTTCTCTTTGCGTTTCTTTACGTAAATTGTACACACAAGTTTTCATCATTCTATTCTATGAAAGTTGTGACATCTTCCACTCATGTCTCTTCCACCCGGTTTTGCTGTTGGCTACGGCATAACAATACGTTATTTTCATAAAAAAGGCGAGCTTTTGTTCCCTTGGAAGATTATTAATTCGAACATCATTTCACCGTGCACCGAGTAGTTACCGTCATTCAAGAGCGAACGAAAGTGGCGCCAACAAATTTGACCTAACTGGACATATTCTGTCACCTGATTTCGGTCCGTCCATACTAGCACCCGAAACTTCATGCAAGCCGATTACCTATAGGAAGGCCAGTGAGAGGAAGCTCAGCATCCCTGAATCGATTATAAGATTTACTAATTGGCTTTGTTCGTATTCCGTTTTCATCCGGTCGAAAACACCGCTCCGTCTGTCACAGACCAAAGGTCGAACCGCATTTATNATGGAAGCATGTCGGTCAGGCAGCTCGTTGGTAATCACGAACTGTGTGTTACAAGGAGCAAATCCGGAACTGGCGGACAATCAGGGCAGAAAAGCAATACACGAGGCAAGCCGAGCGGGCCACTTGAAAGCATTATTCGCCCTATCCGCGTTTGGAGCCGATTTCAACGCAGTAAGTCACATTGCCATGGTTGTCGCATCTTTTTGAATTTGCTTCACCCAAAACATTCAGTTCCACTTCTTCTCTCCAAATCACCGACGCAAAGCGANTAAAACAAACTTTGTTTTTTCGCACACTGAGCGAACGAAATGTACTATACAACCATTGCACGAAAGGACAAAAGATTTGATCCGCATAGATCACGCAAAAAGAACTCCATGTTCAAGATCAAGATGGCGTACACGCGTCCAAATAGGGATTCGGCCACTTGGCATGGACGTTTCTACCAGATGGAATCGGTCGGAATTCAGAAGGTAACGAGAAATGGCAATGGTATTATGAACATTCTTGTTCATGATGGGGTTATTTAAAATCTGAAAGAACCGTTGTCGTAAAGTAAATATACGAAGCTTTACCAGTAATTATTCAAGTTGAATCGAGGAAAAGCAACTGAAAACCGTTAGACGGTAGCTTACAAATAATATTGATTTATAAGGGCCGGGAATATAAACAGAAGTAAGCTTTGTACCAATCTGAAGTCGACAAACTCCACTAGTCCATTGAATCCTCCATTGTTCCCATGTAACACTTGGTTCTATTTAATCCCCTCGAAAAGATGACTACGATAAAGTCTGTTAATAAAGGAAAACTTTGGTCGGACAGAGGATATATATATATATGTCGGCACAATGCAACAAAGCATCATCATTCTCCAAAATAGGTGGGCGGGGGCCCTGGTAATGGGGTGGGGGGGGAGTAATAGAGCTATCACAAATGTGCAAAACAAAATTAGAGTAATGGAGTTGCACATTGAAGCCTTTCGGACTTGTTGACTAAGGGATTGGATGAAATACATATCTGCAAGTGTACAAAGTAATTTATGCTCTTTCCATAAGATGGTTTAACTGTTTTGCGCGAAGTTTAAGCGTTGAAGAATGGGTAGCAGAAAACAATTTGTGATCGACTGATGAATACATCTTCTTATACTGGAAAATATCCGTGGACTGCATCAAGAAGTCAATTTGGCAAACAAGCTCTTCTATGTATGTCACAAATTCACATAAGTCAAGGAAACGGGAAAAAAGTAGATCACGTCTGTGTTTGTATGCCTGAGTTTATGGATAATTTACAAGTAAAGGTTATATGAAAGTTCAAATCATTCTTCAAATGTCATTTGTACTGTCGAATGGGTCCAATACATGAACGACTTGACAATCCCTTTGCAACAAGCTTTATATCACTTTTGCGTTTATGGCTGGCCACGGCAAATCCAGATAGCTGACTGACTGATTGTTCAACCGAATAGCGGCCGTTTCGGCTGGTGACAATAAAAGCGATGCTTGACCTAATCTCATCTCATCCTCGTGATCGTGTAGATGGGCCCTAATCGCTTCTGACACGATGCTCGGTTTCGACCAAATGGGCCATGATTGCCGTCTTCCCCGGTTCTCGTCAGTTCACGACTAAGCCAGCTGGGGTGATGTTCTCGAATGCGTTCAGCCAAGCGGCGGGTGATACGATCGATGTATATGGTACCACAGGAACACTAACTAAAGAATGAGGTCATTTCCACCGGTAGCCTGTTTTTTATCTGCAATGAGAGAACTGGTTTGGAAGTGTGAGTTACGCGTAGGTCAGCGGCATAATATGTGTTTTTGACAACAATCTGAAAATGTCTGTTTGTCAGGTCAGATAATGTGTCACCTTTGAAGGGAATGGACAAATAAACTGGTTTCTTTTTTCCGTCATCTCTGGCGGCCCTTTTGTGGTAACCTTCATAAATTGTTAAATGATCCTATCTGGATATCGATGTTCTACGAAGACCGCTCTGATTTTTCTCGGGTTTCCTCACGTAAGTCACGGGAACATATTCGCCTTGTCCTGTTCACTCATGCACCCCTTGTTATATTATCCATATACACGCATACAAACAGGGACGTCAGTCATTCAGTCATTCAGTCAATCAGTCAGTCAGTCAGTCAGTCAGTCAGTCAGTCAGTCAGTCAGTCAGTCAGTCAGCTGCAGTCAGTCAGTCAGTCAGTCGGTCAGTCAGTTAGCTTCAGTCAACAATATCCAAACCCTTTCAGTGATTACTATTTGACATAATTATTTGTACCGATATTTTATATAGATCATCGGCATTCCTTCCCCATTGTCAAATTATCTCCCCATAGACTGACAATAAAGGAAACACTGCACTCCACTACGCGGCAGCTTCGAGTGAACAGTGCTGCAAATTTCTTGGACAACGTGGTGAGTTTTTCTGATGCCTAATTACCACTTCGATGTTAATGTATTTTTTCGTGTAGAACAGCCATCGATTGGAATTGAAATTATCATTCATCCGAGTCGTAACGTCGTCAGCGAATAGTGCGCTTTCAGTCAGCTACAACTAAGCTACGGTACCGAAATTGTAGCGCCTACCTAACTCATTCACAGGCCACAGACAGCTATTTTCTAAACATCGCCCGTTTTTCTATGTGTGTGTGTCTGTTTGTCTTTTTCCGTCGCAAATTCCATATACACCGTGTATATCACCACACAGTTTAACTATCGCCTAATGAATTTATGCAAACATTTTGCGGTAAATAAATGGCAACCAGTAACAATTGTTCCCATTCCCAAATCCTCTACTTCAAACGTTCTCATCAAACGCTTTCTTCCTATTGCTTTAACATTTGTTGGACTTAATCTGACAGAACGTGTTGTTCTTAAGCGCATTCAGTCCTCTATTGATGTCCCATATGATCCTCTTTAGTTTACTTATAAACCAAACAGAGGCACGCTGGATGCAGTTTTCTTTCTTTTACACAAAATAACCAAATCCTTGAATGACTCTGCGAAATCTGTCCGTTGTGTGTTTCTGGACTACTCATCTGCTTTTGATTCT